CTACACAAAATGCATTTTCGAATATAAATATATCTTTGTATTATACAAATTTTGATTCATTTATAATTAATTTTCTACTGTGCAACTATGAAATAATTACTATCCTACTGTACAACTATGATATACTCTTTAGTATTAACCCTTAAACAGTCCAAACGTATACGTTCACGCGCGTAGTGCCCCAAACGTATATATACGTTTTCTTTGTTATTCATTCAACATTGCCACAATAAGCCTGAGTCACCTAGACATGAGAGAATGGGTGTGTGCACTCACTGTGTTGCATATTAAAATAATTGGGGATACCTGGGTACCATATGCTCTTTTTTCCTTTTAAAAGAAAAGATTTTTTTTTCCTCAAAAAATTTGGGGCGCTATGCGAGTGAACGTATATATATGTTTGGACCATTTAAGGGTTAAGTAGACTGTAAGCCAATAATGTTAAGTTGGCCCATAATGCCTAGGCATAATGGAGGATCTCTTTTGCATTGCAACCCACTATTGTAAATACAAAATCTCAATGTACTGTTTGCAAAGACATAAAATAAATAAATAAACAAATAAATAAATAAGTTCTTTATTTAGTACAGTAGTAATTGTGCATGTCTTCTTCTTTTTGTTTGTAGGAAAATGTATATTTCATGTGGTAATTTTTTTTTTTCATACTTTGGGGTGTCAAGAACGGATTAATTTGATTTCCTTTATTTCGTGTGGGGAAAATTAATTCAGCTTACGGTAATTTCGTCTAACGATGAGCTCTCAGGAATGGATTAATATTGTTAGCTGAGGGTCCACTGTAGTTCTTGTGATTTCATAGCCAATCTTTGTTCTGACACTAACATTAGGTACTGAAATTGTACTCAGATAGTCACAAACACTGACAGGTGAACATTTTCACCTGTCTTGGTCATTTACCATTGTCTAGAAATACATACAAAGTATTTATAGGTACCAGTAGTGCTTTAGACATGCTGGAGTATTTGAGGTTGTCAGTCCCTCAGCCTGGAGAAGTTCAGTTCCATAGTCAGGAACTAGATAGTTCCTGACTATGGAACTGAACTTCTCCAGGCTGAGGGACTGACAACCTCAAATTCTACGACTTCAAGGGTGATGGACTGATTACATCGTCTTCACATGCTGGAGTATATATGAAACTTCTTGAAGCATGGTATAAGACTGAGTGTCACTAAACTGCTGACAGTGCAACATTGGTTTGACACTTGATGATCATGCATTGCTGCAGGGAACCCCTGGCTTTGTTCGTTTTCATGTTACCCACAAATATGTCTGTCTGTCTGTCTAGCTCCATCTGCTTATCTGTCTGCCTGTGTGTGTCTGTCTTTCTGTCTGCCGTATCTGCTTCTCTCTCTGTCTCAGAGAGTGGCCCATGAACCAACAGTTATTACTCACGATACAGTCACATCTGATACCTGATCAAGTGAACGTGTGTATTACTTACCAGTCGTGCTTATTATGCCTTATATCTACAAGCACAGTGTATAGCACTGGATTTTTTGGGTTATCCTAGGTAATTTATACTATGTATGAAAACTGTACTTATGTGTACCTGTGAGAAAGAGAGACAGAGTCAGACAGAGTCAGAGACAGAGACAGAGACAGACAGAGATAGACAGACAGATACATATAGAGAGACAGCCAAAGTCAGCCGGCCTGATGAATATGTATTACACATGTTCCAGAATTGTTCCTCTTTACTTAGGGCATAGGTTATAGGACATCCTGGCAGGATGACACTACCAGTAGTATAAAAAATGAAAAGATGTTGCACAAATGTTGCGCATGGGTTATTATCGAGATTTTTGATATTTCTTCGATCACTTGTGGCCACATCCATCTCAGAGCCACTAAACTTTGGATCATCATCACTTTCCTCTTAAAAGGGGAGTGTTAATACGACATGACATCAGTGTATCCCTGGTGTTTGCCACACTATTTGCTCTAGCTGGCACTCAGTTGAATTGGTGCTCCCACAAGCTAATAAATGGTCCCAGATTTTTTAATACTGCATACACTGAGTGTTAAGACCCATTCTATACTGACCAGGCATCTCAGGCTAATTGTGCCAAATTTGGAGGCCGTTTGGAGTGCTAGCGGTACTAACGTACATCTACGTTTGGACAGTTAATGTTGGTAGAATTACCGACTATGTAAAGTAAAAGGACACAAGTGCAACTAATGTCACATTGGTTGCACTTGTGTCCTTTTACTTTACATATTATTATTATTATTATTATTATTATTATTATTATTATTATTATTATTATTATTATTATTATTAATATTAATATTATTATTATTATTATTCTTGCATATTTCACCTTGCATTTTGTATATATGCTGTGAGCAGTAGTCAAAAGACTACAGAAGGACATAAGATGTCCTGAGCTAAGCAAGATGTTGCAGTAATAATTAGTATTTACAAAGCAAATGATTCAGTGGTTCATGCCCTATGAATAATACTTTTGGTAACCCTACACCTTCTAATCCCCATGCTCAAAATTCTCTGCATAATGTTCACACCACACATTGCCCTCAGACATCACTGCCTTCACCTTCCTTCTTGCTATGACATTTATAACTCCTATTTTGCACACACATATTTTTAATTTATCTCTTCAAACAGGTGTAGTGTCTGATATGTGGAAGATGGCTAATGTGGTTCCTATTTTTAAAACAGGGGACAAGTCGTTACCGTCAAATTACCGCCCAATAAGCCTGACCTCAACTGTAGGCAAATTACTAGAGTCAATTATAGCTGAGATTATAAGAAGCCATCTCGAAAAGCATAGCTTGATTAATGATACTCAGCATGGATTCACAAGAGGCCAGTCTTGTCTAACTAATTTATTAACTTTCTTCAGTAAAGCTTTTGAGGCTGTTGACCACGATAAAGAGTTTGATATTATTTACTTAGATTTTAGTAACGCTTTTGATAGAGTTCCGCACCAAAGTCTGTTAAAGAAAGTGGCAGCTCATGGCATTGGGGAAAAAGTGCTCTCATGGATCGAGTCATGGCTCACAGACAGGAAGCAGAGAGTGTCCATAAATGGGGTTAAATCCGAGTGGGGATCTGTAACAAGTGGCGTTCCACAGGGATCAGTCTTGGGCCCGTTGTTGTTTATAATATATATCAATGACCTTGATGAGGGAATTACTAGTGATATGAGCAAATTCGCCGATGACACAAAGATAGGTAGGATAATTGATTCAAACGTAGACATTAGGGAACTTCAGGAGGATTTAAACAAACTATATTCTTGGTCAGAAAAGTGGCAGATGCAGTTCAATGTAGATAAATGCAAGGTTCTGAAGCTCGGGAGTGTCCATAACCCTAGCACTTATAAGTTAAATGATGTAGAACTTAGCCATACAGATTGCGAAAAGGACTTGGGGGTTATGGTGAGCAGCAACCTTAAACCAAGACAGCAATGCCTAAGCGTACGTAATAAGGCAAATAGATTACTGGGATTTATATCAAGAAGTGTAAGCAACAGAAGTCCAGAGGTCATACTGCAGCTTTATACATCATTAGTAAGGCCTCACCTAGATTATGCAGCTCAATTCTGGTCTCCATATTACAGAATGGACATAAATTCATTAGAAAACATTCAGCGTAGGATGACTAAATTAATACATAGCATTAGAAATCTTCCTTATGAAGAAAGATTGCAGACTCTTAAATTACATTCGCTTGTTAGACGAAGAATGAGGGGAGACCTGATTGAAGTGTATAAGTGGAAGATAGGTATTAATAAAGGGGATATTAATAAGGTCTTGAGGATATCTCTCCAAGAGAGAACCCGCAGTAATGGATTTAAATTAGATAAGTTTAGATTTAGAAAGGACATAGGAAAGTATTGGTTTGGAAATAGGGTAGTTGATGAGTGGAACAGTCTACCTAGTTGGGTGATTGAGGCTAGGACTTTGGGTAGTTTCAAATTTAGGTTGGATAAGTACATGAGTGGGAGGGGTTGGATTTGAGTGGGACTTGCACATCAGAGCTTATTTCTTGGGTAGCATAGAAAATTGGGTTGGGCAAATTTTTTGTTAGCGGGATGAATTGTAAAGGACCTGCCTAGTATGGGCCAACAGGCCTCCTGCAGTGTTCCTCCTTTCTTATGTTCTTATAACAATGTTGGTACCACTATACTTTGGTACATTAATCTTTTGACCTCCATTGATAAGTAATTTTTTTTTCTTGTTGTCAGAGATGCCTTAACGTACCACCCACCTTTTTTCCCCTACATCAGTTCTGTGGTTCATTTCACTATTCTCAGACCCATCTGTTGATAAGTTCACTCACAAATGTCTAAACACATTTACTTTCTCTATACGCCCTCGCTCCAGTCTGATATCCAATCTTTCATTGTTAATCGTATTAACTTACTCCTTCCTGCATTCACTTGTAATAATAATAATACAGGTGCACATCCCTTTATCCAAAACCCAAGGGGGCCTGTATTGTTTCGAATTTCAGACTTTTTCGAATTTCAGAATGATTCTGAATGCCACCATGTGGCGACGTGACCCAGCATGGAGATGACTGACGCTCCACACTCCACGAAAAAGCTTCGGTTTTCGGAACCTTTTGAATTTCAGAATTTCGGATAAAGGGATGTGGACCTGTATTAATAATAATAGTAATTAACAATAGTAATAAATAATAATAATAATAATAATAATAATAATGTAGCAATTACAATTTTTTTAGTATTCACTACATGTAGTTTACAGACTTCTATATTTATACAGTGGTTGCAATTTACGCATACTGTAATTGGTATGTAGATATTTCTACATTTGTGGTAAATTTTGTAGCATTAACGTAGGGTAACCCAAGATAGTTAATGTGATTTAAATCTGTTGAGGCCAAAACCCTATCCTACAATTATTGCATATTGCTTACTCATTATTATTTTAATATAAATTATGAAGTTAGTAATTTAATGTGCCTTATTTTTTATATAAACTTCATTCAGGATGTCACCTTCACAAAGGAGCAGTATCATTAAAAATGAGAGAAAAAAGAAAGTAGTGATTCCTTTGGCAAAGAAGATAGAAATATTGGACAAACTCAAATCTGGCATTAGAGTGTCTGAGCTTGCTCGCCAGTACCAAGTCACTCACACTACAATTGTCAATATGAGGAAGTCGGAAGAAGCAATTAGATTAAGTGTTCGTATGGCAGGTAACTCCAGTCATACCCGCAAGATGATTACAGCAAGGCCTCCTAAGAAAAGTAAGATGGAAACATTGGTTTTTCATATACTGTTTTCTGATATCTGCTAGCATTGTTTTCTATACTAACTGAAAGATCAGTAGATAGCACAAGTCATGTTAAATTTACAAATTGTTTGATGTCTATATTACCTTATTTTTTTACATTGGTTACAATAGTTCTTCTTATTATAATCCTTCAGTAGTGAAAAGTGAATATTATTATAAAATCACTGTCTTGCCAGAAGGGTGCTTTACACTACAGTTTTTAAACTGCAACATTAACACCCCTCCTTCTGAGTGCAGACACTGTACTTCCCATCTCCAGGACTCAATTCCGGCCTGCCAGTTTCCCTGAAACCCTTCATAAATGTTACTTTGCTCACACTCCAACAGCACGTCAAGTATTAAAAACCATTTGTTTCCATTCACTCCTATCAAACACGCTCACGCATGCCTGCTGGAAGTCCAAGCCCCTCGCACATAAAGGAGGTTTTGTGTGCGAGGGGCTTGGACTTCCAGCAGGTATGCGTGAGCGTGTTTGATAGGAGTGAATGGAGACAAATGGTTTTTAATACTTGACGTGCTGTTGGAGTGTGAGCAAAGTAACATTTATGAAGGGATTCAGGGAAACCGGCAGGCTGGACTTGAGTCCTGGAGATGGGAAGTACAGTGCCTGCACTCTGAAGGAGGGGTGTTAATGTTACAGTTTAAAAACTGTAGTGTAAAACACTCTTCTGGCAAGACAGTTATGGAGTGAATGATGGTGGAAGTTTTTCTTTTTTGGGTCACCCTGCCTTGGTGGGAATTGGCCAGTGTACATAAATTGGAGGATAATGACTGGTAGCAGAGGATACATTGGCATTGCTCATCTAACACTCATTTGTACATTACCAGGATAGTCTGATTTCATAGACTTGTAGATAGTACCATGACCAATTTTGAATGCAGACCAGGTATACTGTAGTTAATTTAATTTTCATCAGTAATTTCAGACTAGTAGTTGTCATATATTTGACATGGTGAGTTAATGGAAGATAAGATCAGATAACTTTTACTTACATTTTTATGCAGAGCACTTACCATTTTATTCCTTTAGGCAGTTTTAGTAAGTTGTATCATATTACACGCTTTTGAAACATGAAAAACTTTCTTTGGGACATTCGTTGAATCATGTTTGGTATAACTGCATGTCTATATAACCTCTATGATGCCAGTATTGAAGGCTCAGATTTTTTACTCAGTCCTGTTTACCTCATGTGTGCACATGGGCAACTATCTTGGATGCTTTCCAAAATTGTGCCACATTTTAGCACATCTGACAAGGAGAAGGGCAGACTTGTCATATAAAACCCTTCACAGTTCAGTGAGAAAACAGTAATAGACATTAAAATAAATAAATATATAACAGTGCTGGTTTCTTTTTCTGTCTCATAAACACGCTAAGATAACAGGGATATCTTGCTACTCCTACTTACACTTTGGTCACACTTCACAGACACGCACATGCATATATATATATACATACATCTAGGTTTTTCTCCTTTTTCTAAATAGCTCTTGTTCTTTTTTATTTCTTCTATTGTCCATGGGGAAGTGGAAAAGAATCTTTCCTCCGTAAGCCATGCGTGTCGTATGAGGCGACTAAAATGCCGGGAGCAATGGGCTAGTAACCCCTTCTCCTGTATACAATTACTAAAAAAGAGAAGAAGAAAAACTTTATAAAACTGGGTTGCTTAAATGTGCGTGGATGTAGTGCGGATGACAAGAAACAGATGATTGCTGATGTTATGAATGAAAAGAAGTTGATGTCCTGGCCCTAAGCGAAACAAAGCTGAAGGGGGTAGGAGAGTTCAGTGGGGGGAAATAAATGGGATTAAATCTGGAGTATCTGAGAGAGTTAGAGCAAGGAAGGGGTAGCAGTAATGTTAAATGATCAGTTATGGAAGGAGAAAAGAGAATATGAATGTGTAAATTCAAGAATTATGTGGATTAAAGTAAAGGTTGGATGCGAGAAGTGGGTCATAATAAGCGTGTATGCACCTGGAGAAGAGAGGAATGCAGAGGAGAGAGAGAGATTTTGGGAGATGTTAAGTGAATGTATAGGAGCCTTTGAACCAAGTGAGAGAGTAATTGTGGTAGGGGACTTGAATGCTAAAGTAGGAGAAACTTTTAGAGAGGGTGTGGTAGGTAAGTTTGGGGTGCCAGGTGTAAATGATAATGGGAGCCCTTTGATTGAACTTTGTATAGAAAGGGGTTTAGTTATAGGTAATACATATTTTAAGAAAAAGAGGATAAATAAGTATACACGATATGATGTAGGGCGAAATGACAGTAGTTTGTTGGATTATGTATTGGTAGATAAAAGACTGTTGAGTAGACTTCAGGATGTACATGTTTATAGAGGGGCCACAGATATATCAGATCACTTTCTAGTTGTAGCTACACTGAGAGTAAAAGGTAGATGGGATACAAGGAGAATAGAAGCATCAGGGAAGAGAGAGGTGAAGGTTTATAAACTAAAAGAGGAGGCAGTTAGGGTAAGATATAAACAGCTATTGGAGGATAGATGGGCTAATGAGAGCATAGGCAATGGGGTCGAAGAGGTATGGGGTAGGTTTAAAAATGTAGTGTTAGAGTGTTCAGCAGAAGTTTGTGGTTACAGGAAAGTGGGTGCAGGAGGGAAGAGGAGCGATTGGTGGAATGATGATGTAAAGAGAGTAGTAAGGGAGAAAAAGTTAGCATATGAGAAGCTTTTTACAAAGTAGAAGTGATGCAAGGAGGGAAGAGTATATGGAGAAAAAGAGAGAAGTTAAGAGAGTGGTGAAGCAATGTAAAAAGAGAGCAAATGAGAGAGTGGGTGAGATGTTATCAACAAATTTTGTTGAAAATAAGAAAAAAGTTTTGGAGTGAGATTAACAAGTTAAGAAAGCCTAGAGAACAAATGGATTTGTCAGTTAAAAATAGGAGGGAGAGTTATTAAATGGAGAGTTAGAGGTATTGGGAAGATGGAAGGAATATTTTGAGGAATTGTTAAATGTTGATGAAGATAGGGAAGCTGTGATTTCGTGTATAGGGCAAGGAGGAATAACATCTTGTAGGAGTGAGGAAGAGCCAGTTGTGAGTGTGGGGGAAGTTCGTGAGGCAGTAGGTAAATGAAAGGGGGTAAGGCAGCCGGGATTGATGGGATAAAGATAGAAATGTTAAAAGCAGGTGGGGATATAGTTTTGGGAGTGGTTGGTGCAATTATTTAATAAATGTATGGAAGAGGGTAAGGTACCTAGGGATTGGCAGAGAGCATGCATAGTTCCTTTGTATAAAGGCAAAGAGGATAAAAGAGAGTGCAAAAATTATAGGGGGATAAGTCTGTTGAGTGTACCTGGTAAAGTGTATGGTAGAGTTATAATTGAAAGAATTAAGAGTAAGACGGAGAATAGGATAGCAGATGAACAAGGAGGCTTTAGAAAGGTAGGGGGTGTGTGGACCAGGTGTTTACAGTGAAACATATAAGTGAACAGTATTTAGATAAGGCTAAAGAGGTCTTTGTGGCATTTATGGATTTGGAAAAGGCGTATGACAGGGTGGATAGGGGGGCAATGTGGCAGATGTTGCAAGTGTATGGTGTAGGAGGTAGGTTACTGAAAGCAGTGAAGAGTTTTTACGAGGATAGTGAGGCTCAAGTTAGAGTATGTAGGAAAGAGGGAAATTTTTTCCCAGTAAAAGTAGGCCTTAGATAAGGATGCGTTGATGTCACCGTGGTTGTTTAATATATTTATAGATGGGGTTGTAAGAGAAGTAAATGCGAGGGTCTTGGCAAGAGGCGTGGAGTTTAAAGATAAAGAATCACACACAAAGTGGGAGTTGTCACAGCTGCTCTTTGCTGATGACACTGTGCTCTTGGGAGATTCTGAAGAGAAGTTGCAGAGATTGGTGGATGAATTTGGTAGGGTGTGCAAAAGAAGAAAAATTAAAGGTGAATACAGGAAAGAGTAAGGTTATGAGGATAACAAAAAGATTAGGTGATGAAAGATTGAATATCAGATTGGAGGGAGGAGTATGGAGGAGGTGAACGTATTCAGATATTTGGGAGTGGACGTGTCAGCGGATGGGTCTATGAAAGATGAGGTGAATCATAGAATTGATGAGGGAAAAAGAGTGAGTGGTGCACTTAGGAGTCTGTGGAGACAAAGAACTTTGTCCTTGGAGGCAAAGAGGGGAATGTATGAGAGTATAGTTTTACCAACGCTCTTATATGGGTGTGAAGCGTGGGTGATGAATGTTGCAGCGAGGAGAAGGCTGGAGGCAGTGGAGATGTCAATGTCTGAGGGCAATGTGTGGTGTGAATATAATGCAGAGAATTCGTAGTTTGGAAGTTAGGAGGAGGTGCGGGATTACCAAAACTGTTGTCCAGAGGGCAGAGGAAGGGTTGTTGAGGTGGTTCGGACATGTAGAGAGAATGGAGCGAAACAGAATGACTTCAAGAGTGTATCAGTCTGTAGTGGAAGGAAGGCGGGGTAGGGGTCGGCCTAGGAAGGGTTGGAGGGAGGGGGTAAAGGAGGTTTTGTGTGCGAGGGGCTTGGACTTCCAGCAGGCATGCGTGAGCGTGTTTGATAGGAGTGAATGGAGACAAATGGTTTTTAATACTTGACGTGCTGTTGGAGTGTGAGCAAAGTAACATTTATGAAGGGATTCAGGGAAACCGGCAGGCCGGACTTGAGTCCTGGAGATGGGAAGTACAGTGCCTGCACTCTGAAGGAGGGGTGTTAATGTTGCAGTTTAAAAACTGTAGTGTAAAGCACCCTTCTGGCAAGACAGTGATGGAGTGAATGATGGTGAAAGTTTTTCTTTTTCGGGCCACCCTGCCTTGGTGGGAATCGGCCGGTGTGATAATAAATAAAAAAAAATAACAGTGCTCTGCTAATGACTAGCCTCAAGATAACCACAGCAAGGCTGTAAGTGGCAATTACCAATTACACTTCAGAAAGCTTCCAGATGTTACCAGTCTGACAGCTAAGCAAACTACGTACCATATTATCGTTTTTATTACACCAA